AAGGGGAGAGAAAACTTCTGGTAAGGTTGGGTTTTTATAATACTCCAATTGACATGCTAGCTTATGGCACCAGCTCATAGCTCACCACCTCTCTGAGCCTCATATTTTTTTCTATTACTTGAAATATATGACATCAGGCACATAATCAACAAGAGTATCTAGAGTTTGAAGATGTCCTGGGCTACAGAAAAAGTCTGAAGCCCTACAGCCTAAGACTCTTGCTTAAAATACAAACAAAAAGCATATTATTTAGATTTTTTTCATACTGCATATTATGTGGTCACTCAATAAATGCAACACATATATAGAATTCTCCAGTTTAAAAAGGGGACCTAGAAACTTTCCTTTCAGAGTTCTCACTCCTGGCCCTTTCTGGGTGATCCATGAGGCTCCCAGGGAGCACAGTTTGAAAACTTATGAAATAGGAAAGTTCTAGTTAGTTCATAATGATAGTCCAGGGTCATGTGTTTCATTCTGTTCCCCATGACTATACATTGTAAGATTAAATGCTTTATTTACAATATGGGGAGATTCTCTTTGTCTCTAGCACCTTGAAAAGGTACCAAAGCTTGAATGGATTATGGTTCAATTTGCCTAAGAAAGAAAGATACCAATATCACCAGGAGACAGAGGAAGTTGTTTTTTCCAGACTTCTAGGTCGCCACTCTTGAGTTTCAACCCAATTTACACAGATTTCAACATGCCAAAAGTTAGGATTTAGAACTCCTTACTGACCATACTTGAGCTGGATGACTTGTCATCCTGTTCCTGGTGGGCTCATGCTTTGGGGAAGAAAATAAAAAAGGAATCCCCTGAATTCTATTTAAGACTTGAGATTCTTTTTTTTTAATACACAGGTTTTGAAGACAAAGTTATACTAACCACACATTGTCAGCACTAGACCACTTTAATTTTATTTACTTTTCTGTGTTCTTGTTCACTTGTGAATTTGCTCCTATTACTTCCTGATTCTTTTTTTTAGCCTTCATACTATTTATTTATTTATTTATTTATTTATTTATTTATTTAAGATTTCTGTCTCTTCCCTGCCACCGCCTCCCATTTCCCTCCCCCTCCCCCAATCAAGTCCCCCTCCCTCATCAGCCCAAAGAGCAATCAGGGTTCCCTGCTCTGTAGGAAGTCCAAGGACCACCCACCTCCATCCAGGTCTAGTAAGGTGAGCATCCAAACTGCCTAGGCTCCCACCTAGCCAGTACGTGCAGTGGGATCAAAAACCCATTGCCATTGATCTTGAGTTCTCAGTAGTCCTCATTGTCCACTATGTTCAGTGAGTCCAGTTTTATCCCAGGTTTTTTCAGATCCAGGCCAGCTGGCCTTGGTGAGTTCCCGATAGAACATCCCCATTGTCTCAGTGTGTGGGTGCACCCCTCGCAGTCCTGATTCCTTGCTCGTGCTCCCTCTCCTTCTGCTCCTGATTTGGACCATCAGATTTCTGTCCGGTGCTCCAATGTGGGTCTCTGTCTCCTTTCATCGCCTGATGAAGGTTAATATTCAGGAGGATGCCTATATGTTTTTCTTTGGGTTCTCCTTATTTAGCCTCTCTAGGATCACTAATTATAGGTTCAATGGTCCTTTGTTTATGGCGAGAAACCAAATATAAGTGAGTACATCCCATGTTCCTCTTTTTGGGTCTGGCTTACCTCACTCAGGATAGTGTTTTCTATTTCCATCCATTTGCATGCAAAATTCACAAAGTCCTTGTTTTTTACTGCTGAGTAGTACTCTAATATGTATATATTCCATACTTTCTTCATCCATTTTTCCATTGAAGGGCATCTAGGTTGTTTCCAGGTTCTGGCTATTACAAACAATGCTGCTATGAACATAGTTGAGCATATACTTTTGTTGTATGATAGGGCATCTCTTGGGTATATTCCCAAGAGTGGTATTGCTGGGTCCAGGGTTAGGTTGATTCCGAATTTCCTGAGAAACCGCCACACTGTTTTCCAGAGTGGTTGCACAAGTTTGCATTCCCACCAGCAATGGATGAGTGTACCCCTTTCTCCACAACCTCTCCAGCAAAGGCTATCATTCGTGTTTTTTATTTTAGCCATTCTGACAGGTGAATTTCCCTATGGCTGCCTCTCTCCGGAGAATACATTTAGAATTTCCAGGTTGTAAAATATTAAGAAACCAATTTACACAAATGGTATAACACAAGTCCACACATACCCACATCCCTACCAGCCTGTGTCCTTGTCCTCCACACTAGCATTTACTAAGCTAACAAATATAAAGGAAAATATTGCTTATTTCAATTCACCTCTGAAATTACCATTGAATTTCAGCATCCATTTATACACTCAGAAACATTTCAGCTTTCTCACACACTTTATATTGGTGTTCTTATATTTTTCTTGCTGAAGCAAAGATGACGATTGGTATTAGTATTCTGGATATTAGCACCTCATCTGTTAAGTGTTGCAAGCTGCTTTTAGTCTTTGCTGTGTCTGTTTTATTCACCATTATATTGTAAACAACTTAGTTTTGCCTTTCAGTTTTTTTTTAACCACCAGGCATATTACCTAAACTCTACCCCTTCTAATTTATAGAGTCACCTAAATATCATTTTCTTTGTGTTCCGTGGGGTCAAACATTATGCATAAATCATAAATAAATACATTTTAATCTCAACTCAATTATAATTTTAATTATACTACTTCTTAATATGGTAAACTGGTATTCCAGCACACTAAAACATTTTCTCTCCCACTGGCTTCTTAGGGCCATCATTTTCCTGTGTTAAGTTCTTAGGTAAATGTCACTCTTATTCTGGACAGTGGTACACTGAGTTCTGGGATAGTGTTTGGGGATATTTAAATTAGAGAATATTCTTTTTAAATATTTGTCTCCTTGAGATTTTCTATGAAACAAGACTAAGCAAAAAGTAAAAAACAAATATGGGGCTGGGCAATGGCTCCACAGTTCAGATCACTAGCTGCTCCTATAGAGGACCCAAATTTGAATCCCAGCATCCACATTACCATGCTAATAACTATCTGAAACTCCCTCTAAGGCTAAGGCTTTGTGAAATTTCCCCCATCCATGTTGACATGTCAACTGATGAGGTCATTATTTAGGTAACAATGTTGATATTTCACAGGTGTACATTTCTACCATATAAAGAATACTGTCTTGAAGCAGGCGCCCAGTCTTCTGGATGTTGCAATCTTTCTGCCCCTTCATCAGAGATGTTCCCTGAGCCTTAGGTACAGGAGTCTATGATGTAGTTGTACTATCCAATGTACTATGATGTAGTTGTGTAACTCAGACACTTACTCTCTGCAATTTGGCAATGTATGGACCTCTGTAGTAGTTTTCACCTGATACAAAAAGAAACTCCTTTAATGAGGGTAAGAGTTACACTTACGTGTGTCTAAGGTTAGTAACCAACATCTGCTGAATTGAACTTAAGTACTCAGTATGAGGAACTTATGCCTGGCACTGTAAACCTAGCAAGTACCCACAGCTGGAGAGGCATAGACCTTGAAGGAGAAACTGCTTCCACCTTCCTAAATCAACACAGTTTCTAACTGTATTCTGAACTACATTTTATCTAGCATTTTCTATTGGTCAATTGTCTGTTCTTGCACCAATACACACTATTTTATATTATTACAGTCTTTCTTTGTCAGTCTTAATTTACAAAGGGACAAGTGTTTTTACTTTAATCTTTGTCATTGTTGCTCAGCTTTTTATTGCTGGCATATAATACCTTTTAGTCAAATCTGTTCCTCCCTCTACCATTATTTCCCTCCCAATCCATATATTTTTAGAAAACTCTTTGAATTCTACACTTTTAATTTAATAAATGCATTGTCTTTTCGCTCTTTTACTTTAGGTTTTCTGTTTTGTTTTGTTTGGGGAAGGTTCTTTTTTCCTTCAGGAATTAAACACAGAGCCTCATCAATGCTAGACAAGTATTCTATTATGGAGCTACATTCTCAGTCCAATGTAACTTCTTATTGAGATACAAAGTCTCACAAGCTGCCTGGGTTGACCTAGAAATGAAGATCTTCTCACCCCTCCTGAGTAGCTGGTATTAGAAGTGTGCATTTATATACCCAGTTTTCATATTTATTTCATCAGTACTTAGATTATTATGGGATATTTTACACAAAAGTATATTAATTAAGGTGTTTGCTCATGTCTACTTTCTATCTGTCTTTTATGCCCTTCTCCTATAAACTGAAAGATCCTCTTACCCTGGGAGTTGTCTGTTAAAGCAGACCTCTGTCTGAGAATATTTCTGAGGTTTTTATGCTTTGAGATTTCTGGTTCAAGCACTCAGACTCAACTCCCAAGTCCAGAATTTTAAAAATCTAACTTTGAGGTTGTTTTTATTTCTCTTTGGAGGCAATGCTTTATCCAGTCTCCACACTCACACCTTTGCACACAGACATAAATGCCATACCTGGCCCTGTGTTTGTTCTCTTTTCTGCCTCTGTCCTCTTTATATAAGCTTGACACCACCCACTTTAGATTGTGGGACACAATCTGTATGTAGTGTCAAGCCCAGTGTTAAGTAAACAGAGTCCTATCAGAAACGTATTTTCACCTTCCTACCCCACTGGACAGTTAACATACCCTGTTCGACATGCGAATCCTCCGGGGCAAGCTCCTCCTAAACTAAACTTTTTGCCCCACATTTTAAGCTACCAAGAGAATTACAAAAGTACTTTTCCCCAAGAAGGGTTTGACCCAGGAACACATCCCTAGAATGTATATTGGGCTACTGCAAAGAATCTTGGGATGCCTACTTTTTCTTAAAAAGGGAGAGGAAAACCCTGACTGGAAGCATGAGGTAGAAACTGATGCTGCACAGAAAAGGAAGAACTGGAACAACACAGGATCAAGCAGACTTTCCTTATCAAGAAGCATAAAATTTGAACTTGGGAAATGCACCAACAGAGTCAGAAATTGAATTAAAAAATTAACTTTTTAAAAGAATAGTAGAAAAACTGGGCAAAAAATGTGCCATCATTTTCTGGGCATTTTGGCTAAGATCAAGTGTAGTTCTTATCAGTCTAATATCTGATACATCCTCCATCCGAGGACAATATATTACATGGAGTTTTGGAAACAGGACTTGGAATAAAAGCTTACTCCATACACACCACACATCAACCTGGTATTACAGTTTTTCCAGGAATGGTAGACCCTTTTGGGGGAGAAAAAAAGTGTCATCAATACACCTTTGGCAATTAAAATGAGTATTTTCTGTACACCTTTCCTATGAAAAAATAAAAAGCAGTTACCATAAATTTTGTCTTGTGGTCAAACAAAAAGAGCTGAAGTGTTCCATTTGGCTTTACAAAAAGAGTTATGAAATTGGATGTGAATCTAAAGTATCCCAAGACCAGTTCTATGAAGCCATATTATGACAGTATGACAATCAATATGAACAGCATCCATACACAGTGCATGAACAGAACACTTCTGAGGCATCCCCTCCATCAGACTGGAGACTCAAAGTCAAAACACATATCTAACAATCCTTGTATATTTTTTGCTTGCAGGACAGCAGTGCTCAGGGAAAACCAGAGCCACATGACAGAATTCCTCCTTCTAGGACTGACCAGTGATCCCAAACAACAGGTATGGCTTTTTGCCACCTTCCTTACCATGTACCTGATAAATGTGATTGGTAACTCAGTCATCATTGCAGTCATCCAGGGAGTTACCCACCTACATACTCCCATGTACATCTTCCTCTCCAACCTGTCCCTGGTGGACATCTGCTTTACCACTGTCATCGTGCCACAGATGTTAGTGAATTTGCTGACGCAGAGAAAGACTATCCTTTTTACCCAGTGCCTTGCTCAAATGTATTTCTTTGTGGCTTTTGGTATTACAGACAATTTCCTCTTGGCTGCAATGGCCATTGACTGCTATGTTGCCATCTGCCGTCCACTCCATTACACCACAACCATGAGCCCCAGGTGCTGTTGCTTGCTAGTGATGGCATCCTGGGCAGTGTCACATCTTCACTCACTCATACGATTCTCATGGGCCGCCTCTCTTTCTGTGGAGACAATGTTATCCATCACTTCTTTTGTGATGTGCAACCACTGCTGACACTCTCCTGCTCTGATACCTCCATCAATGAGCTTTTGGCCTTCACAGAGGGCTCTATTGTTATCATGAGCCCTTTTATCTTTATTGTCATCTCTTATATCTGTATCACCTGGACAGTTCTGAAGGTACAAAGCATTCTCTACCTGTGGAGCCCACCTCACTGTTGTGGCACTATTTTATGGAACCATAATATCTGTGTACATTAGCCCCTCATCCACCTACTCAGTGACAAAGGACCGAGTGGTCACTGTCATCTGCACAGTAGTTACCCCCATGCTGAATCCTTTCATATACAGCCTTGGAAACAAAGACATGAAATAGGCCTTTAAAAGGTTGACTTGTAGATAGAAGTTTCTGTCCTGCCCAGTCCTGTAGCCATTCAGTCCCAAAGACAGAGGCTTATATTAATTATAAACTGTTTGTCCTGTTAGCTCAGACTTATTATTAATTAGCCCTTACAATTTAAACAAACCCATAATTCTTTTCTATGTTTAACTATGTTACTTTATACCTTTTCTTAGTAAGATATGCTCATCTTGCTTCCTCAACATCCGGCTGGTGAATGACTCTCTGCCTTTCCTCTTCCCAGACTTCTTAGTCTGTTTGCCCAGCTTATGCTTCCTGCCTGGTTACTGGACAGTCCGCATTTTATTAAACTAATACGAGTGATAAATCTTGACAGTGTAAGGGGCATTCTACCACAGCACTGACTGGAAGAATACAGTAGAATGTGCACATTTCTCTCCCTGTAGAAGTTAAATCAACAGTTCAACAATGTGTTGCTGTGTTTATGCCATGTTTGTTTCTAGACAATGAGAGAACATTAGAACATTGCACAGGTACCAAGACAGGTTTGTTCCAGAGATTCATGGGGTTATTTTGAAGGACCAATTAGAGTCTATGGCGCTCCACCAACAAAACCTTTCCTGGTACTTTATAGCACTACAAGATTCTCTTTTTACCCCAGTCCGCCTTCCTTCCATTTTCTTCTGTAGACTTCAAGCTGAGTCTGAAGACTTTTACTTACCCACTGCCCAATAAATCTCTTACATGTCATGGTGGTTCAGTTCTATGCACTAATTTGACAGTGATAAGAGACAAACAGATATCAGGTAAAATATTTCTTTTTAATTTTATTAGTTTTTATTGAGCGCTACATTTTTCTCTGCTCCCCCTCCTACCACTCCACTCCATTCCAACCCTCTCTCAAGGTCCCCATACTCTCAGTTTACTTAGGAGATCTTGTTTTTTTCTACTTTCCATGTAGATTAATTAGGTCTATGTATGTCTCTCTTAGGATCCTTGTTGTTGTCCAAGTTCTCTGGTATTGTTATTTGTAGACTGGTTTACTTTACTTTATATTTAAAAAACACTTATGAGTGAATACATGTGACAATTGTCTTTCTGCATCTGGGTTACCTCACAAAATGATGTTTTCTAGTTCCATCCATTTGCCTGAAAATTTCAAGATGTTATTTTTTTCTTCTGTGTAGTAGTCCACTACGTAAATGTACCACATTTTCTGTATCCATTCTTTAGTCAAGGGACAATTAGGTTGTTTCCAGGTTCTGGATATGACAAACAATGCTGCTATGAACATAGTTGAGCATATGTCCTTGTGGTACAATTGAACATCTTTTGGATATACAACCAAAAGTGGTATTACTGGATCTTGAGGAAGGATGTTTCCTAATTTTCTGAGAAATCGCCACACTGACATCCAAAGGGGCTGTACCAGCTTACATTCCCACCAGCAATGGAGGAGTGTTCCCTTTTCCCCACAACCTCTCCAGCATAAGTTGTCATCAGTGTTTTTTATCTTGGCCATTCTTACAAGTGTAAGACGGAATCTCGGAGTTGTTTTGATTTGCATTTCTCTGATGACTAAAGATGTTGAGCATTTCCTTAAATGTCTTTCAACCATTTTAGATTCCACTGTGGAGAGTTCTCTGTTTAGATCTGTACTCAGTTTTTTATTGGATTTTATGTTCTTTTGATAGCCAATTTCTTGAGTTCTTTGTATATTTTGGAAATCAGACCTCAGTCTGAAGTGGGGTTAATAAAGATCTGTTCCCATTCTGTAGGCTGTTATTTTGTCTTGTTGACCATGTCCTTTCCTTTACAGAGCTTTTCAGTTTCAGGATGTCCCATTTATTAATTGTTTCTCTCAGTGTCTGTGCTACTGGGGTTACATTTAAGAAGTGGTCTCCTGTGCCAATGCATTCCATTGTGCTTCCTATTTTCTATTCTATGAGGTTCAGTGTGGCTGGCTTTACGTTGAGGCCTTTGATCCATTTGGACTTGAGTTTTGTACATGATATAACGAAGGATCTACTATCATTTTTCTACATATTGATATCCAGTTATGGCACCACCATTTGTTAAATATGTTTTCTGTTAACCATTTCATATTTTTTTTGCTTCTTAGTCAACAATCAGGTATTCAAAGATTTGTGGATTAATATCTGGGTCTCCAATTCAGTTCCATTGATCCTCCTGTCTGGTTTTATGCCAATACCAGGCTTTTTTCAGTATTGTAGTTCTACACTAAAGTTTAAAGTCAGGTATTGTGAAGCCTCCAGAAGCTCTTTTATTGTACAGGATTGTTTTGGCTATCCTGGGTTTTTTCTTTTTCATATGAAGCTAAGTGCCATACTTTTGAGGTCTATGAAGAATTTTGCTGGGATTTTGATGGACATTGCATTGAATCTGTAGATTGCTTTTGGTAAGATTGCTATTTTTATTATGTTAATTCTATGTACCCAATAGCATGGGAAATCTTTCCACTTTCAGGTATCTTCCTCAATTTCCTTCTTCAAAGATTTAAAGTTCTTGTCATACAAGTCTTCCTCTTGTTTGGTTAGAGTTACTATGAGATATTTTATGCTATTCGTGGCTATTGTGAGGGGTGATGTTTCTCTGATTTCTTTCTCAGCCCATTTATCATTTGTGTACAGGAAGGCTACTAATTTTTTTTTTAGTTAATCTTGTATCCTTCTACATTACTGAAAGTGTTTATGAGTTGTAGAAGTTCCTTGGTAGAATTTTTGAGGTCACTTCTGTAAACTATCATATCATCCGCAAACAGTGAGAGTTTGACTTCTTTTCGAATTTGTATTCCCTTGATCTCCCTTTGGTGTCTTGTTGCTCTAGCTAGGACTCAAGAAGTATATTGAATAGATATGGAGAGAGTGAAGAACCTTGTCTTGTTCCTGATTTCAGTGGAATCGCTGTGAGTTTCTCTATATTTAGTCTGAGTGGGCTGTTGACTTGTTATAGATTGCCTTTATTATTTTTAGGTATGTTCCTTCAAGTCTTGCTGTTGTAGTGTGTCTAGATTTTACTAGTGTTGTGTTTCTCTTTGTGATGTTGCATGTGTTCTTACCTTGTCTACTCATTTTTTCCTCTAATTGGTGTGGTTGAGGCTGTCTGTGGTTCTGGTGATTAATCATCTAGGTGCCAGAGAATCCACGCTCAGATGGTTGTTCCTGATGGTATAGTCAGTGCCATGGTTCTAGTTACCCCATTGGTCCCTCTGTGTTCTGGAGTTTCCTCTGCACTCCAGGGCTTTGCTCCACTCCATGTAGTTACAGTCTCAGGCCTGCTCTAGCCTAGGTTGTCAGATCGGACCCGTTTTTGTAATTGTCCCTGGTCTGGATCTGTTCCTACAGAGGTCCCTGGCATTGGGTTGGTCCTGTAAAGATCTCTGGCTCTAATCTACACCCTCAGAGTTCCAAGACTCGGGTGCACCCAGTCTTGGGTGCAGCAGAACCATAAAGGACTTTGCTCAATCCTACTCCCTCAGAGATCCCAGACTTATGCCAGACCCACAGAGGTTTCCAATTCCTACCTACTCCCTCTGACGTCCCAGACCAACACCCAGATCCACAGAGGTCCTGGCTCAGGCCTACTCCCTCAGAGGTCCCAGACTCATGCCTGGACCCGCAGAGATCCCTGGTTCTTGCCTACTCCCTGAGAGGTCCCAGACTCACGCCCAGACCCTCTTAATATCCATATTGTGTGAGGAAAACCCACAGAATTATCACCCCCTTGGTTTTGTGTGTGTGTGTGTGTTTGTGTGTCTGTG